GCTGGTAAGTGGCTGAACCATAGTTCAACTCAGATAGTACTGAACCCTGAGCCTGGGCTTTTAACCTCCTGCGCTAAGTTAAGTATAACATTTATTTTAAAATGTGGTAAGACATACACGACATAAAATTTACCATTTTAACCAATTTTAGTATACAGTTCAGTGGCATTAAATACTTTTGCATAGTTGTGCAACCATCACAGCCATCCATCTCCAGAACATTTTTATCATCCTTGGCTATAACTCTATGCTTGTTAATCGATCACTCCCATACCCCCTTCTCCCTAGGCTCCAGAAACCATCATTCTACTTTCTATCTGTGTGGATTTTACTGTAATAGGTACCTCACATAAGTGGAATCACACACTATTTATCATTTTATGTCTGGCTTATTTCACTTAGCATAGTGCCCTCAAGGTTCATCCATGCTGTGGCATGTGTCAGAATTTTCTCCCTTTTTAAAGTTGAATAATAAATATAACTTAAGTTTCATGACACGAGGATGTGGCAATAAATAAAACATGATTTCTGCTGTTAGCCAATGATATCACAACCTGCTAGAATAGACAGACAACAATATGTTAAGGGCCCCCAAGGAGGCACAAACACACCTCTATGGAAGCTTCTGGTAGAAGAGGTCACAAGGTTGCATCATGTTACCCATGATTATCCATGTGAACCCAGACCCCTAACTGTCTGGGTAAACATCCCACTCCACCACCTTTTCACTGTGATCTACTGGGCAAGTTATTTTTCTCTTCTGAGGCTCAGTTTCTCCTTCTGTAAAGTGGGAGTAAAATAATATCTACCCCTGAGTTATAATCAGGCCTTAATGAATTCATTTATGGAAAGCACTTAGAACAGACACGTTGTAAGTGGTCAATAAATAATATTAATTAAAGTAATAACTTCTATCTGGAGCAGCCTATTGGAAATATAACACTTTACTTTGATTTTGGAGGATAAAGAGGATTTCTGTAAAGTAAGGTTGCCAGACAAAATACAGAATGCCTAGTTCAATTTGAATTTCAGTTAAATAACGCATGATTTTTTAGTACAAGTATGTCCCAAATATTGGATACTACTAGTCAAATACTAATAAAAGGCAAGATTCTGGGTGACTATGTATTTGATACCTTAGAACATTTTAGTCACATTAGTAAGTATAATAAGATTCGCTAGTTGCTCTCAACTGAGCTGAAGAAAGTGGGGAAAGAAAAGGATAAGCTCAGAGTTTCAAATTCTCAGCTCAAAACACTACATAAATTATCTGAAAGGTTGTGTGTCTGCCCTGGAAAAACAAACAAACAAACAAACAAACAAAAAACATTATCTCTTGTATCTCCTGCAGGGCTGAGATTGCTGAAAAGTGACCCAGAGTCTCATCTTGAGAACAGCTGAACTACAATGGAAATTGAATTCACAGCCTCACAGGGTGTTTGCTGTTAAAGTGAGGGTTTGGATTAGGAGAGAATGAGATCCTGAAAGTTGGAAAGGGGACATATGGGCAGATCCCAGTGAAGCTGGGTACACTGAACCTATAAATTGTGCTAAGTCTTTTTGCCAGTAGAAACAACCCTTCATCCTCCTTTCCTCTTGTGTCAGTTCATTCTCAACTGCTATAAAGAACTGCCCAAGACCGGTTAATTTATAAAGAAAAGAGGTTTAATTGACTCACAGTTCTGCATGGCTAGGGAAGCCTCAGGAAATTTACAATCATGCTGGAAGGGGAAGAGACATGTCTTACATGATGGCAGGTGGGAGAGAGCAAGTGTGTGAAGGAGGAACTGTCAGACACTTATAAAATCATCAGATCTCATGAGAACTCACTCAGTATCATAAGAACAGCATGGGGGACACTGACCCCATGATCCAATCATCTCCCACCAGGTCTCTCCCTCAATACATGGGGATTACAATTCAAGATGAGGTTTGGGTGGGGACACAAAGCCTAAGCATATCATCTCCCTGCAGTTTGAGGTTAACCCTGCTTTTCTTGCAGCATCTGGAATGACCTCCTCTGAGGTAGTTATCTTTTGAGACAATGCTGATTCGTCTTTCAGAACCCACCCCCACCACCCCTCTTTGCTTCTGGACCTATAACTAGACCCAAGTCCCAGCAGGCCCCAAAGTTTGAAGTACGAAGAATGACCTATGGTTGGGGGCAGGTTGCTACACTCCAAGAGAAATGCAGGACTTTTCCCGTGTATACAGACATGAATCTAGGGAATACATGTGGGCATGGATATCAAGGGTGTGGAAGGAACAAAGTTGAATTGGGCTGAATTTATTGATGCGGGCCCACTAAGCAGAAATTCTGGATCTCATGTCGCAGCTCCTCGAGTTAGTTTTAACAGTGTGGCTGTTTGGCTGGCTGAAACATGGAGCAAAAAGGGTCCTGCACTAAATGAAGTTGAAATACCAGAACTGCATTGTTATTCTGTAAAGGAAGGTAGAGGAAGGTGCCCAAAGGCTTAGGGAGATTGGAATTGGAATGTTAGAGTGAATTTGTCATGTAAAACCTGCTCATCCACCCTGGAAGGTTCACTACAACTTTGAGAAATAAATTTGTGAGGGGAGCCCAGCATCTTTGAAGAGTTCTGGGGTCATTTTTCTCTGAATGTCAGAAATTACAATGAGAAATGCTTCTACTAAGCTGGGATTCTAAATGCAATGGGAATAATTGGATCCTGGAGCAGGGGACAAATGACAGCACTTAATCACCAAAGGCAGCGTGGGTGTGGTATGGTTACAGTCATGGACAGGGGGTCAAAACAAGAATCATGAGTCTGAGTCACAGAGATCACAGCATTGGCTGGTTGATCATACTGCAGCTAAAAAAGAAAAAGATGGGCAGTCTACTAAATTCGTATGTGATCTGCATATACAGAAGAGTTCTAGGCTGAGTGAACAGAAGTCAAACTGGAATCACCAAAACAGAGTCCTTGCCCTTCGATTAATTCCTAAACTTGAGTCAGTTTACAGAACCAGAATCCTTTGAATGAAAGGGAGGCTGAGTCCCCTTGAGGAAGGACCATGCTCTACTGCCCAAAATGTGTATTGTTAATCTGTCTTCAGTCTTCCCCAAAGGGACCAAGGGGTTCTTATCAGGGTGACTATGCATTAGGAAAAAGGAAATAATCAGAACTTTGGGTGACTACTGGACACTGGATCTGAATTGACACCAATTCCTGGGAACCCCAGACATCACTGTGGTCCACTAGTCAGAGGAAGAGCTTATGGAGGTCAGGCAATCAATGGGTTTTTAGCTCAGATCCATCTCATGGTGCGTACAGTGGGTCGCCAAACCCATCCTGTGGTTAGTTCCCTGGTTCCAGGATGCATCTTAGAACAGACATATTTAACAAGTGGCAGAATCTCTTAAAAATTATTTTTATTTATATGAAATTCAAATTGAACTGGGCACTCTGTGTTTTTTGTTGTTGTTGCTAAATCTGGCCATCCTACTTCAAGGAAACACCAAGTGGAAAAACCACCATGTGAGCAACAGCTTAGAGGACATGAGAGTGAGGGTTTATTAAGAAGATTGTAAGTATCTTGAGTTGGATGGTAAAATCCAAGGGCCGGAGGGCATGAAATTCAATGAGCTGAGGGACTTTGCAAGACTCTGGAAATCTTCCTTTTTTAAAAGAGCCAGTTTGTCCCTAGCCAAAACACCACCCAAAACAAAACAAAAGCCTTTCAGTCCTTCCTTGGTTGATTAATTTGTAGGACATTATTTTTATGAGGTTTGTAATTATAAAACAAATTGTCTGGAAGTGATGACTTAAACTGCACATTGGCAGAATGGAATATTCACATGAAAGAAGTGTAATTTTTCTTTGAGCTGAGGCAATAGCCTCTCCCTTTATGAATTTGCTGCTTGGACTATGTGCCTGAGGGCAGGAAGAGTTTAAAATGCTTAAAGTAGTCTGGAATTGGTTGTTAAAGAGCTCATTCAAAATGTGTGAAAGGGTTTGGCTTTCCCCAAGGCCCCAGGTTGCATCTTCTCTAACAGGGGTCATTTAATGCCCTGAGGCTGTCCTGCCCAACCTTGGGGGCAACTACAACCATCTGGCAATCACTTTAAAACTCCGAGTCCCCTACCTAATAGCAGCGATTCTAACTTAAATGAACTAGAGTAAGACCTCAGCATCAGAATAGATTAAAATCTCTTCCAAGTGATTCTAATTTGCAGTTAGGGGTGAGAACCACCACCCTCAGGACTCAGTCTTTAGGTACCAAAAATCGACCAAAGCAGTCATGGTAAAATGATTGAGGGTTCCTGAGCTTCAATAACAGGAGGTTTGGTTTCTTTTTTTTCATTTTTTTTTTTTTTGAGATGGAGTCTTGCTCTGTCGCCCAGGCTGGAGTGCAATGGCATGATCTTGGCTGACTGCAAACTCTGCCTCCCAGGTTCAAGCAATTCTCCCAAGTAGCTGGGATTACAGGAGCATGCCACTATGCCCGGCTAATTTTTGTATTTTTAGTAGAGGTGGGGTTTCACCATGTTGGCCAGGCTGGTCTCGAACTCCTGACCTCAGGTGATCTGCCCACCTTGGCCTCCCAAAGTGCTGGGATTACAGGCATGAGCCACCGCACCCGGCCACAGAGGTTTATTGTTTCTAAAGATGGGTAGCTGGAGGGGGTGTCTTCCTTTCCTTTTTGAAGGACTAGCAGGCACTTAGGACCTGAGAAGGCTGCGAGAGCTTCCCAATCTCTTACCCCACCCTGTTCACATCATGAGGGTATAAATATGGGATATGGAGATATAGGAGAGAAGATGAGTTTGAACACCTTTGTCCCTGGTAAATCAGCACCTTATAGCAGAGAATTAGACTTCGTCCCATCAAGTGGAGAGAACCCTAGAGCAGCATGATCCTCATTAATCCATACAGATAAACCTGCATTGACTAGTTTAAGAGTAATTCCTCACATACTCACATTACACCACAGGGAGGGCTAATCACAGGGTGGTTTGGTGCTATGAATCAATAGACCTAAAGATGTACGTACCTTTTGTTGCAGCCATTCCACTTGGAGCAATGTTTCCCAAAGCAAAAATCAGCTAACTGCATAAAGACACATGTGTGAAGATGTTAGAGCCATGAAAATAACTGAAAAACTGAAAATCGTCTATGTGCTTATTACAAGGGCATTAAGTCATGCTGAAATATTCATACGATAAAACATTAGGCAGTCATTTAAAAGGATCATGTGGTTGTTTTTAACACAGAAAAAAAGGGTCCCAATTTATTGTTAAATGAAAATGTTCCTAATCTATTGCTAAATGAAAAAAATTACAAAGCCTTCCTAAATGCACACAGCATTTGGTATAGTATGTCTCTCTTGCTGTCATTCAGAAGCATATTAAGGGTGAAGAGAATCCATCCTGTTCTCCCAGATTAGATCTAGTATAATCTTTTTGTTCAAGAAGAAAAAGTATTCCAGGAACAGTAGCTCATGCCTGCAGTCCCACATTTTGGGAGGCTGGGGGATGCAGATATCTTTAGCCCAGGAGTTGAGACCAGCCTGGGCAACATAGTAAGATCCCCATCTCTAAAAAAAAAAATACAAAAATAAGCTGGGCATGGTGGCTTGCTCCTGTAGTCCCAGCTACTTGGGAGGCTGAGGTGGGAGGATTGCTTGAGCCTAGGAGGTCAAGGCTGCAGCTAGCCCTGATTGCACCACTGCACTCCAGCCTGGGTGACAGAGCAAACCCATCTCAAAAAAAGAAGAAAAGATGAAAGAAAAAGTACACTCAGAGCAGAGGAAAGATGATGGGAAAGAAATAGACAAGACAATGGGAAAGAAATAGACAGACCTGGCTTTGGTGGTGGTTTTACATGTGACTGTTGAATTTAGCTTTGGTCTTGTTCTGCTTTTGCTTATCTGCCTTTCTCAAGTTCTTCTATAATAAATATGGTGTTCTTAAATAACCAGACCACTTTAAAGATAGTGATGTGAAGCTGCCAGAGCTACATGTGAAGTGTGAAGATAGATCCTGCTTTTCACAGCTCCCCACCCGAGAGCCACACACCCTCAAAGATGCTCCAGAGACTTTGTAAAAGGCTGCAGTGTGGATCCTAAGGAATAACTGCTCTTATTACGGCTGTGCATTTTCCTCCCTTTGCCATATTTCTAACCTCTTAACCCCACACTCAGTGTTTAGTGAGGAAGTGTTGCAATTCCTTGATGGACTGTTTTGCTCTGCTTTGACCTTTTCCTGTGCTGTCTTCCATCGCCCCTTAGGCTATGGTGATGGTGATGGCGTTGGGATAGTTCAACACGCTTACTATGCAGATTGTCTCCAGTGTTGATTTTTTGCTTTTTTTTTTTTTAATCTCCTGGGTTTTTACGTTTTCACCCAATTTGGGTTATTCTTCTCTTCCTCTCTCCCTGTCACTACTCAAATCATTTCCCAGACCCTTCCCCTTTGCATATTAATAGGGAAAGCTCAGGGTGACAGCATTTTTTTGTCATTTCCCCTACCCCTTCTGAACCCGAAACGGCAGTCTCCATCTTGCTGCATCTTGGAATCATCTGGAAGAGCTTCTCACACATAATGCCAGCGTCTTAGGCCCAGAGAGTGTATTCTATTTGATCTATAGTGGAGAGTGTTTTAAGCTCTTTCTCCAAGTGACTCAATGCACAGCAGCCAGGGCTGGGAAACCCTACCTTAGCCCCTGTGACCTGCACAGCACCTGCAGCTTTAAAATGAGTAATCTGGGATAAAACTGCGCCTGTAGAGGGGACCCACTGGGCTATGCTTCGTGCTCAGGTGGTCCTCATTAGCAAGCCCACTGCCCCAAATCAACCCTTAAAATTAAAAGTGCTGCTCTTACAAAGGCCACTATCCAGATTAGGAGGCTAATGAAATTCCCACCAGACTTGTTCCTGAATTGACGCAAGTATTTTCCTTCCTAAATGCACAAAACATTCAGTATGTCTCTCTTTTGCTGTCATTCAGAAGCATTTTGGGGTGACAAGAATCTATCTGTTCTCCTAGAACACTCAAAAAGTTCTGCCAGGTTGACTCATGCTTTCTTCTGCATTTTTATTTATTTATTTATTTATTTATTTATTTATTTATTTATTTATTTGAGAGAGTCTTGCTCTGTCGCCAGGCTGGGTGCAGTGGCACCATCTCAGCTCACTGCAACCTCTGCCTTCCAGATTCAAGCGATTCTCCTGCCTCAGCCTCCCAAGTAGCTAGGACACAGGTGCACGCCACCACGCCCAGCTAATTTTTATATTTTTTAGTAGAGACAGGGTCTCACCATGTTGGCCAGGAAGATCTCAGTCTCTTGACCTCATGATCCGCCTGCCTCAGCCTCCCAAAGTGTTGGGTTTACGGGCCTGAGCCACCATGCCTGGCCCTTTCTTCTCCTCTTCTACCCAGGACCTTATCACCCTATGCCTGGGTGAGTCCCAAAGCCTCCTAACCACCTCTCTTCACTGCTTGCACCATGCAGTCCATCTTGGGTGCCACTACTATAGGGATCCTTCTAGATTCTTCTTGTCCTGACCATGTCATTATTCCTGTGTCAAAATCTTTAGTAACCCCTGTGTGATTTACAACACTGTCAATAAGTTAATGATTATGAAGCTAATGTTAATGGTTACACATTTTTTTGAGTTCTTATTCCATGCCAGACATGATGTTAAGCACATTATAAGCACAACCTCATTTTTAAATGTTTTATTATGAAGATTTCCAAACGTACAAAAAAAGCGTAAGACTAGCACAGCCTTCCCTCTCTTCTCAATAATTCTAGAATCCACAGATCTCTGAAATCCAGATGTTTTTCATATATTTGGTGCTAAAACTCATTGGGTGGCAAAATCGGACCAAACTAAGTGTGGAATTATTTAGATTTTTATTTACTCCACTTAGAGTAAATATCCAAATATATCATAGCAGACATAATATGTTTGATTATGGGATGCCACCCAGACCCCCACTAAGTGTGTGATGTAATAAATAGTACGTGTACCTGAATGTTTTTCTAAAATCTGGAAACATCTGAATTCAAAAGCATATTGGATTCCCAGGATTTGGGGATAAGGAATATATATGTAGGTGCTCATCGTGCAGATACACAATTCCTTATTACACAGCTGTAATAAGAGCAATTATGCCTTGTGACTCAAGCTGCAGCCTTTTACAAAGTCTCTGGAGCATCTTTGAGGGTATGTGGCTCTTGGGTGGGGAGCTGTGAAAAGCAGGATCCATCTTCACGCTTCTCACAAAGCCCTGACAGCTTCACATCATTATCTTTAAAGTGGTCTGGTTATTTAAGAACACCACATTTATTATAGAAGAACTTGAGAACACAGATAAGCAAAGGCAGAGCAAATCTCTCTCTCTCTCTCTCTCTCTCTCTCCACCACCCCCCCCCCATATATATATGGAAACCTTAGATTCAGAAACTGTTAGAATCTTGATATCTTTGCTTTTCCATCAATATATAGGTATAGATGGATAGCAGAGATACAGCTGTGGCCAATATATATACATATGCACATCAAATCCCTGGAACCTGTGAATGTCACCTTATTTGGAAAAGAGATTTTTGCAGATTTTTTTTTTTTTCTTTAGATAGAGTCTCGCTCTGTCGCCCAGGCTGGAGTGCAAAGACACGATCTTGGCTCACTGCGATGTCTGTCTCCCGGTTTCAAGTGATTCTCCTGCTTCAGCCTCCTGAGTAGCTGGGACTACAGGCGCATGCCACCATGCCCGGCTAATTTTTGTATTTATAGTAGAGGCGGGGTTTCCCCATGTTGGCTAGGATGGTCTTGATCTCCTGACCTCGTGATCCACCCGCCTCGGCCTCCGGAAGTGCTGGGCTTACAGGCGTGAGCCACCACACCCGGCCATCTTTGCAGATTTAATTGAGCTAAGAATCTTAAGGTCAGGAGATCGTCCTGGATTATCTGGGCAGACTCTAAATCCAATGATAAGTGTCCTCGTAAGAGACACAGAGGAGACACACACAGAAGAAGAAGAGGCTATGTGCAGACAGAGGCAGAAATCAGAGTGATGTGGCCACCAGCTCAGGAAGACTAGGAATGCCAATAGCCATCAGAAGTGGAAGCAGCAAGGAAAGATTCTCTCCTCAAGCCTCCAGATGGAATGCAGCCCTACTGACACTGTGCTCTCAGACTTCTGGCCTCCAGCACTGTGAAAAGAATAAATTTCTGCTGGTTTAAGCCACCAACTTTATGGTAATTTTTTTCAGTAGCCAAAGCAAACTCATACAGATTTAAATATAGGGATAGATGTAAATGTAGACATAGAGATAAACATAGACTGAATCACTTACAAGTACTTAAAGTCTGGGCATGGTGGCTCATGCCTACAAGCCCAGCAGTTTGGGAGGTCAATGCAGGAGGATCACTTGAGGCCAGGAGTTTGAAGCCCACCTGGACAACATAGCAAGACCCCATCTCTACAAAAATTTATTTTAAAAATAGCCAGGTGTGCTGGTGAAAGGTGAGGCAGGATTGCTTGAGCCCAAAAATTTGAGGCTGCAGTGAGTCATGATCAAGCCACTGCATTTCAGCCTGGGAGACAGAGCCTCTTTCAAAAAATAAATAAATAAATAAAAATAAAAAATAAAAGTACGTAAAGCCCTCACAATACCTCAATCCTAAATCCGTTAGCGCACGCATCTTATTTAACCCTCCCAGAATCCTATGGGATATATTATCGTGCCCACTGCAGAGGCCAGACAACAGAGGCACCTAGAAAGCAACTCCAATTCCCCTTCTTGCCACTCCCAGAGTCAGATTCAAAGCAAGAGGATTGGCCCTAACCTGCCACAGAATCTGCCAGTGAGCATTCCAGATGGAGAATTTAGTGAAGTCCAAAATCCCAGCAGGAAGAAGGGACCGAGGGCAGGCAGCAGCCCCATCACTTTGAAAGGCAGACATTTTTCCAAGCCTTTTTGGCAGGGAAATATTCAGTAAACACAGGGAAACTCGGCTTCTGAGTCATACTGAAGCCGACACAGAGAGCTTCACTGACTACGGGAACGGAGCCTGTTCTATGAGTTTGATGCTTTCAGTG